ACACGCACTATTTACACATATATATTATATGTGTGTTATATAAATACAGCAAAAATATCCATGAATATACATGTTATTTAAAATTCCTTAATTCCTTTGGTCAAGGGTTTGCACAAAAATGTGTTCAGTGCTCTTACATACTGCCAAGTTTCAAGTTAAACAAACGTGTCATTGACCTGAGCATATGAACTCATGAATGAGAAGCTGGAAGATGATAAATGACGTTGTATATTGGTCCAAATTCCCTTAAAAATGTACTAGTCCTTTTTTTTTTAATGTTATGGTTTTTAAAGTAAAAGTGTCAGTACATTAAAGAGGCCTACACATGATGTGTAGATTCTATAGACACTGAATCTATCATGTAAGCCCCTCCCACTTTTAAAAGTTCACTTTTGCTGCACCCACTATTCTGATTAGCCACACCCACCACTCCATCCCCATGCTCAGGAGTATGATTTTCAAAAGTTCCCAGGTATGGCTGCATTATTTAACCCAGTAGTCGGTAGTGACAAGTGGTGAAATTCTCCACCAGAGTTGGCATCGTGCTAGGTGTAGGCTATATAGCACTTGCAAGCCACGGGTGCCCAGACTGACAATTGGATCCTTCTCATCCCCTACTGAACGCACGGCACAGATTTAGGTCCCTGAATTCCTTTTTTATTCAATTGAAATAATAACATGGCTTACAATACACAACCTGTCCAGCTCTGAAGTGTTTTACTCTTGTTCAGGGCTTAATCATGGAGATACAATAAAGCGGATTCAATGAAAAAAAAAGATTTCAGACCTAAATCTTTGGTGTGTATGATGTGGTGGAAGAGAATGCAGGGGACAACGCATGCGGATGGTGACCTAAGCAAAAAGAAAATATGTTTTTACAATACTGGAGATTGGCGGGATGGAGGATTAAAAACATTTACATTTAAGAGACAATAGCACCTTGCTCATGCAGGGCAAAGTAACAGTTTCTCTGCAAAGGAGCTCCCTAACCGACCTATATACTTAAGGTGCCCATACACTGTACGATTCTCGTACGAGAATTGTGGGAAATCCCGCGATCGTACGTGAATCGTACAGTGTATGGAAGGCGTACGACCAATTCTACTGTACGGTCGCACGTCTTTTGTCGAACCAGCATGCTCGAAAACCCGCCGAGAATCGTACGATTTGTCGGCGGGTTTCTAGCCTGCTCGTTCGATAGCTGTGGAACGGGCCGGTGTGCGCACGCGCACACTGCCCGTTCTGCATTGCGGTCATCGGAAGCCCGCCCCTCAGCGGGGGAGCGGGCTTTCGATGATCGCAAGTACGATCTGCCCGTCCAAGGTGGGCAGATCATACGAGCTTTCAATAAGCATACGACCATCGCAAGACAAAAGTCTTGCGATGGTCGTAAGGTGTATGGGCACCTTTACTCACGCGCTCCATCACAGCTGGTGGCAATTTCCCTGTAACAGTGATCAGGTCTAGCAACCAATGATGTCCCCACTCCCCCTAACATTCAACCCCAGCCGACACTTGGGATTTTAGTGGCAGCTCCAAGTGGAAGGAGCACTTGGAAGGCGAGTATGAGAATGGGTCTGGGAGCCCCTTTGCCCTGCACGGCAAGGTGCCAGTGTCTTTTTGAGGTTTTGGCTACTGAGTTTTCATGTCCATGAAAAATAAATCAAATGATGTGCAATGTCTGCTTTCCGTATATAATTTTTCTTATTTTCGGTTGTTCCAGATGAACTTCAAGAAATAATAATGGACGCAGCAAATGAAGCTAGGAAGCCCATTCTTGGGCCTTTTTTCCCAAGCTTCAATCTACTTGCCATTTTGAAGAAGACTCTGAACAGATTTATGCCAGAAAACGCACACCAACTAGCAAGTGGAAGACTTCATGTGGCTCTTACACGACTGTCAGATGGAAAAACTATACTGGTTTCTGATTTTAAATCCAAGGAAGAGGTTCTGCAGGTAGAAATACATTATGCTGACCTGACGAGATGTATTGGTGTTTGTTGTTGTACAGATGCTAAGCCAGCATTGGAATATGTTGCTCCTGAGCAAATGAGGAATACGCCAAACACAGATATGAGTGGAGCTTGGCATTTCATACAACAATGCATGGCTCCGCTGTGACATTCACTGCCTACTACTACTAGGTTATCTCACTATTTCTATCATGTTCAGTTTTCTGCTATGAAACACTGCAGTTACAAAGCCAAATCAATATGCCCAAGATAAAGTGGATTGTGGGCAGGTTCATGTGGGGGAGCGGCATGGCCGCTCTGCTTCAGACTGTTTGCGGTGTACCTGCCGCCCCCTTTCAGACCAGAGTGTCCCAGGTTGCTAAAGCTGGGCGGGAGATGTGTAAGGGCCATACACATGTCCCCGCCCAGCTCTTAGCAACATGGGATGCTCTGGCCAGCATCCTGCCCAGCTCCTGGCAACCAGTCATGTTGCCATGAGCTTGACGTCTCTGGTTGCCAGGAGCTGGGCGAGATGCTGGCCAGAGTGTCGCAGGTTGCTAAGAGCCGGGCGGGGAGATGCAGTGCCTGCAGGAGGCGGCGTCACTCACATTCCCTGCCCCCTCCCGTCTCAGGCAGGCAGCAGAATGGCCAGGGACACCACTGAGTGGAACTAAACTTTTCTACAATACTATTCTACAATAACTTAAACTTGTCTGCCTGCTTACAATCTCCTTTAGCTGCACTGAGATTCCGACACTGGTAAGGAAATGCAGGGAGGTAAGTTAAGTTCCACTTTAATGTAGATATTGGAGCTAGTCAATGCAATCTAGAGGTCTGCAGGCATTTTTTATGAGACAGGAAGATGGTAATGGAAAAGCCTTAAAGAACAACTCCAGGAATTTAAAGAACTTACCAGTGTAGTGGGGTAGCCCATAATTTCAAGGGTTAAATGCTCATTTTGTCTAGGGGACGTAAATAAAGCTGATTTACTTACCTAATCCTCTATCCCACCGGCTTTCTTTGGGCTGCTGGGCCAGTCCCCACGGCCTCTACTGGGCTCCATGCAGGACCATTTAATTGCATTAGCTGTAAGGATGCCAAGGACATTCCACAGCTGGAGCAAAGGGGAGAGATGTGAGCGCTGACTGCCGCAGGGCCAAGGATCAGGTGAGTATATCTGCTTTATTTGAGCCCCCTAGACAAAATGAGCACTTAACCCTTGCAGCGTACTGCAAGCGTACGTTTTTTTAAATTTCCGGGGGTTCTTTAAAAAGCATCAGCTTGGTTTGTGTCCAGGCACAAATGTACCTTTGTCCCCTGGATCTTTTATTTTAATTTTAATATATCTTTAAAACCTAGGTCCAGCCATTTTTTCAGTTATTAGTTCATGATAGGATGGGGGGAAAAGTCAAAAATTCTGTTAGGTTTTTATTTCTGTCTGTGACCTCATTGGGAAGATTTTTCATCACTTCCTAGTATAGCGTCACTCTTTTCTCGGCCAGTGATACCCAATGCAGGATAATACTACCTCTGACTCCAAAGGGTGGTGTACAGTAATAGAAATAATGGGTCTCACGGTTTCATCTGTGATGGATCCACAGCACACCAGCAAACATTGACTTTAGGGTCGGTTGATATGGGTTACCGCAACTCAGTGATCTTCTTATAAGCACTTACTGCCCTCTATGGTGATCGATTAAAGTCAAGTCCAGACTGTAGATGTAATGCTGAGAACTTTAGGGAGAGAGGCCAATGATTAGGATCATCCAGGTAGATGTAGACTCCTTTTGAATGGAGTGTGGTTGCTGTCTCAATTTACAGCAGGAAGAACACCTGGCACAACAGTACTTGAGGTAGAAGTCACCAGCCATGTTCATCCTTGTCATCAGTAGTAATCACTGGGCCTCCAGACTCGGGTCCCAGTGAAAGCACATGGCTAGTCCCCAGGCTTCAGGCCTAGCCATCTCAGGCAGTCCATAGCAGCCTCACCACAGGCAGGGCCCAGAGGAGGAAGAGAGCGCTCACATGGTCCACCCCAAGAATTTATCTCCTCCCTCAGCATGCACCACTGGCCAGGAACCTCACAGTGATTGGCTGGAGAGGGATATCTACTCATAGAAATCTCTCATTGGTTGCTCTGCTCTGTGGCCAGGATGCACCCAGCAGCAGACAGATGCAAATGATGACAGATTGATTATGGGAAACAAAATTAACCTAGACTACAAATCAACATCAGTCTTTTCAGGGAAAGAGGGGTAGGGAAAGCCACAGACAGCAGTAAAAACATTGTCAGACATGCTAACCCTTTTTCTCACTTAAAAATGTGCTTTTCATTTTCACTGTGTGCCCCCGTTGGAGAAATTTGCCCTTCCTGTCCTAAAGAAAGGTGAAGGAAAATCTCTGTCCAGTGTAGTATACCTGTTACAGAATTATGTAGGATGTCATTGCTGACCTCTCCTTTTCAGAATGTTAATTTCATGGTTGTTCTGCTTTATCTAATGCTTCCAATGCTTTGAGTCGCTGACCTGGAACAAGTATAGAGATAAAGGGTTCTGACACTGCTGGACAGAAAGCTTATTCTAATACTGGTTATACACGGCTAGAATTTTGCTTAAAAAATTGTTTTTAGAACTTTCATTCAATTTTCTGTTAATTGGGTCAAATAGACAATTGATTTTGACTGTAGTGACAAAAAAAATCGCAGCAGGATGGAACTTTTATTTTGCTCAAACAAACTAAATTTTAACAATGAATGTGGCTTTCAGGAAACTCCATATCCAAATTAAATGTTGACATTTTTCAGATGAACGTTTGTATGAAAATGTACCATTGTCCACCCAACGTAAGTCTGTGATTCAAAGGTTTTGAATTCAGACACAGCAGCCCCCTGTACTTCTCTTCAGGTATACTTTAAAGCACTGGTTCTCAACCTGTGTAACCTCAGGACCCACATTTGTACTTGGCTATTAAGTCGCGACCCAAGTCGCACTGCAATGGAAAACACGGCATTAGGGTACCTCGCCTTCTGATGTGGGCATACAAACTGTGGGTGGGAGGTGCGTTTGGGGTACCATTCAAATGAATGGCAACACAACACACCTCCCACACCAGAACGCACGGTAGGTGCGATTGCGTGGTACAGTGCGTTAATCGCATGGTACTATACGATTAACGCACTGTGCTAGTATGAACAGGACCTCAAAAACACTGACATACATACACAACCACAGACACATTCTCACACACCAAAAATGTTTAAATGTAATTTTTTTTTTTAAATCCACCCAGTCTCCCTACCATTACGAGAACCAGAGTAGATCCTCAGCCTGGGGTCCACTGTGGGCTGCTGTGCTGTGACGGAGCTCCATCCATATGTGCATTGCGGTTACAGCTCCCTTGTAGAGGTGCCGGTAGGAAGAATGTGACGTCACTCTGGTCCAGGCACCTCTACGGGACACGTGAGGGAGCTGTAAGCAATGCACGTATGGATGGAGGTCCCTCATGACCATAGGCCCACCCCACCTCGAACTAAAGCTCGGCGACAGGCAGCATATTTTGAATGACTGCTTGGCGTGAGAACTGACAGTGCTGCGCTAGGGGGAGGCTGAGGAGCTTCTCAACTAGAAAAGTGGAAGGCACGTGGGGACCCACTGAACACGGGATCGCGACCCACTTTCGGGTCACGACCCACCAGTTGAGAACCAAGGCTTTAAAGCATGAGAATTTCTGTGCTAAAAACCTTGAGCTGTAACCCTAATCACAAATCACAATCTAAATTTCAATGTGAACAGTTCCAAGGGCTTAAAATATATCTAAAGTTAAAGCATTTTTTAAAGTTTGCATCTGCCATGTGTTTGCCATCTGTGTACCATTCCTTTACCTTATGCCCTGCAGACACAGCAACAAGTGATAGGTAATCTCCCTAAAACCCCTCGTAGACCGTTGTCCCCATTGGATTGGATTTTCCCACTATTCCTATTTTGGTGACAACTCCAAATTTCAGATTTCCCATTACTCTGTCCAAGTGACACAGGTTACTAATAATAAGTGGGCGGGGGGAGATTGATGTAAACCCAGTTTGCCCAAACCCGTGCAAAACTGTCACACCCCCTTCCAGGCCAATTAGTTACTGCATTTGCATTCCCTGCCCCACAGCTACAAGTCACTAAGGGGCAGATAATCCAACTGTCACAATTGATTGGGCCTGGACGGGGGTGTGACACTAACAGTTTTGCATGGGTTCGAGCAAACGCAGGTGAACTGGGTTCACACCAAGCCCCCCACACATCATTAGTCACCAGGACAAATAGTGAGGTTGAGTCCCTGTTGACACTTAGACATTTTATCACTCAAAGGTCAGCACAACAAAATGCTCAAAACAAGGAATCCCATTTATTTCTATGGTCCCTGTTCACAACTGAGCCTTTTGTCGCAAGCACAAAAATGCCCAGCACTGGAAAAAGTACATGAGCTACTGTTTGCCAGATTACAGCGCTTTTTGGTCCCACAGACTTCAATGTCAAACTTCATACTACAAAACGCGCAAAAATGTTTGAAACGCATGTTTCCAGGCATTTCACATTGAAGTCTATGGGACCTAAAAGCTGTAATCTGCCAAAAAGTAGCTCATGTACTTTCTGCTTGTGTCTAAATGCTCAGGTGTGAACAGGAGACATGGAAATTAATGGTATTCCTTGTCTTGATGGTTGTATCACACTCAAGACAAGCAACAGGGATTCCTTGTTTTGAGCATTTTGTTGCGCTTTTATTTTCAGGGACAAAATGCCTAGTTGGGAATGGAGGAGACACAGCCAGCAATAAAAAAAAAAACAAACTAATCGGGGTTCCAATACCTCTCCATGCTGTCCAAACTAAAAAAAAAAATTGGGGCTTTATATACACTTTAAGACAACGTATTCAGTTCCCCCTGTACGTGTAGCAGGATGATATACCTTTTGCTAAGGAAAATGATTGTATCATTACAGGCCCTGATCTGTAGCTGTTTTGTCCCCTTTTACTGCGGCTTGGTCCCACCTTCTTTCCGAGGAGTGGTAAGAAATAGTCATTTCTTTATAAAAAAAATTAAACCAAAACTACTAACTGCAAATCTTTTTACTGAAAAGTATATGTCCTCTCTTTTTGCAGAGTATTGTTTGCTCACATGATATAATCATTTTCCCCAGTAGCCAATATCGACATTGAAAGTTTGAATCTGATTTTGCTGGAAAATGTTTTGTCTGTTTTTGCAGGTTTTTAGCATTCCAATAGGTTAGAGCTGTATTTGAGATGAAGCAGAATATGTAGGCTGTTGAGAAAGAAAAACAATTACACAGGTCATGTTTAGGAATGCGGTTCAGATCTCCTGTGACTGTGGATTTGCAGCAAATCCTGCGTGTTTAAAATTCCCAGTCCCCATTTATGTGCACAGTTTTTTTCAACTACAATGCACTGCATAACCTGTTACCATGGCCAGCAGGTTTGAAAGGGCCAGTAAGGGGGCATTTATATGATTCAGCCACCTCACTATAAATTGAGGGGTGGCAGGGCGGGGGGCTCAGAGCAGTCATAGTGTCAGTGTATTAAAAGCTGCTGTAGGGACATATGGTGAACTGCATAGGAAGAGTTTTGGGTCAGGTAGCAAACTGGGCTTTACTTTTCTAAATTGCAGTGGAGGTTTCCCCTCCCCTCGGGTTCACAATTCTTCATTGTTTCCAAAAATCCTTATTAGGACTAGTATTTGTATTAACAAAAAATTTGATTGCGTGATTACCGGCCCTTTGGCAATCAGTCCTTTGCCGCCTTCTTTTTTTTGGGTGTGTGTTTTTTTTATTGGGGGAATTTTTTTTTTTTAAGTGCATTTAAATCCATTTTTTTTTTGGTTTAGAATAGAATGGGGAAATGTTAGAACACCCATCAGGGTTTCCTGCTATCTAGGGCTTCGTTAGAGAGATTTCCCCTCACTTTCTGTTAAGGGGACAATGACAGGAAGTGATGGAAAATCTGCAACAATTTTTAAAAATTATTAACATTTTGGAAACAATTAAACCATATAATGGGCATGGAGAATAAAGATATAACAATAAGAAGTAAATTTAATGTTTTTGTTTTAACAATTGTGTCACAAGCAACAAGGAAATACAATAAGCCACCCAAACAAATACTAGGCGGTAAGAACAAATAAGGCACAAATAACATTTGACTGCTCTGGACATGTGAAGAAGAAACTGCAAAGTGCATTAAAGTGGTGTAAAAAGATGTAAACTATCAGTCAGGTGTATGACCTCAATTCAAGGGGAAGAAAATAGGTGATGGAGAAAGACAAACAGAAGATGTAGGGAACAGCAAGGAAGGGGGGAGGGGAAGGTATGGCTCAGAGGCATCCCCGGATGAACCACCATATAACATAAGGTGATACAGGAGCAATGGCTCATGGGAGCTTGCTTGGTGGTACTTCATCTCTTTGGAGAATGCTATAGATAATGCAGTAGTGCGAAGAAAAAGGTGGTCAGCTGAAACAATCATGTAGGAAGGCTCCCATAACATCAGAATGCACAAGCGTCTTATATGTAGCCATGCCTTTAAATAACAACCATGAGGACCAAGCCTGTGTGGCACAGTGTTTTGACTAATGTGAATTAGTTCCACCATTTCTGCTAAGAAGTTCATGTGCTGTGATATTCTGGGAATTCAGCAGGATCACTGGACATAGGCCTTTCAACAAAATATAGTGTTTATTCAACTCAAATGGCTTTACAGCAGCAAAACAACCCAAACAGTCTGTCTTCACTGACCCAAAGGAAAATGAAATAGCTTTTCTTCAGCATTACAGAAATAAACTCTGACTCTCACTGACTTCAGGGTTTTTGGCCACAAAACCAATTGGGCAGTCTCCAAGCTTTTGGGGTATCTCCTCAGCAGGGTTTGGTCCTTGGAACAAACTGCTTGGCATGTAGCTGCCTGGCTACACAAACTCCTTACTACTCCTCTCACACTCCTGCTCTCTACAGCTTCCTGTCTTCCAGCAGGTAACTAACACATTATTTGCCCTTTAAAGGGACCATATCCAAAACAGAGAGGAAACATAGCATCCTTACAGGACTCAACCCTGGTGTTCTGTACAGTGGCTAAATCAGTTTCCTATACTAGGTGTAGTAGGTGATCTCCATTGTCTAAGAATCACTGTGTTTGCCACATTCACACATGAAGTGTGAGAGAGTGTTGCCAAATGGTGAAGGAGATAACAGGCAGTAAACTGATCCAGTTCACCCATAATTTTCTGGAAAAGACTACGGAAAAATCCCACCAAATATGAAGGACTCAGGAAAGGACTCAGGAAAGTGCCAGTGCCTTGATGACAGCTCCAACAAACATCAGGAATAGCAGGTGAATTCTTATGGATGAGTTCCGGAGTGCAATACCATCGGGAACCCAATCTGTAGTTTTTCTTGAACTCTAGTATTTGTGGAGCCTTTCAGTAAGCAGAGATTCATGTCCTCCCACACATCTTCCGTGATGGTGACGTGTAAGTCTCGTTCTCAGGCTTTGCTTGCCAAATCACTGTTCTGGGATAGTTCAAGGCAAGGAAGACAAGGTGTCTCACCAGAGCAGAGGATTTGCATAGGGTTTCAAAGCTAGAAAAACGTCTAGCGAGGTGAGAGCAAAACTTTAGAGCGTTGAGAAAGTGTTGGGTTTGTATGTATGTCCAGAGTGGTAGCGCATATGTCATATAAATACACATTTTTCTTCTGTCTGTGTTGCCAATACAGAGATTTCCCCTTATTTCCTGAGCTTGGAGTGGTGGCTACTTTACAACACACACAGGTACTGTGAGAAACAAAAGTAGCCACCCTCCAGAAGAAAGGACAGTGTCTGCATGAATTGAGAGATGATTTGAGGATCTACAGCCGAGTGATACACAAATAAGCTACACTTTCCTTCATAGTTAAAGTACTTAATTGCATTTTTAAGGTTTAACCCCTGAATTTAGTGTCACTTTAACTGCCAGAAATTCATTGTGCTTTTAACTTCCTTTTTCAGTTGACAACTCTGCCTTGGCTGGACTACAAACGCCTCCCCCTTTCATTTCTATAAAATATGGGAGAGGTGTTTTGTAGTCTAAAAGGGAGCGCTCAAGTAAGGTTGATAACACAATGCATGATATTTAATTGCAGCAAGGACAGAATTGTCCGTTCCAACAGAATTGTCCGTATTTGTGTGTGCATTCAAAAATGTTAAAGGATAAAATATGGAAATAAATTGTTTACACCAGGAAAATCCCTTTTACACACGTATTTATACAGCTTTGAAAAGACTATACAGTGCTGTAAGACAATAGCAAATTAATGTCTTTACAGTTTCCCCTCAAATGTACTGACTGCAATGCATTTGTTTATCCACTAGATGGCAGTATATCAAAGTATACGCCAACTGTAGCAATCTACCAATTAGCAGATACAAATTAGAAGTCATTTTAAAGAAGGTTTGTGGTTTAATTTAAAATCAGAATACTGCTATAAAATTATAAACTTTTCTAAGATGTTTGCTTACTTTATTTACACATAAAAGAAAATATGCAAATTGAGCAAGGGGCTGGTGCACGCGTGCTGAGAAATTATTTCACTTTTATATATATTTATTCCTCAGTGTTAAGTGACAGAGGTGGGGTTTATAACCCCGGTAGAGATATGATTGTATTGTATTCATACATATCCTACTATAGTGCAGGCTGATGTCCCCTAAAGGATTAGTTCACCTTTTTTATGAAACAGCACATGCAGTCAAGGGGTCCCAACAGATGTAAATGTACTGTGCTGTGTGAAGAAATCTCTTGTTTAATTGATGTTGCATATCTGTTTGCCCATATTTGTCCATCTTAAACCACTGCTTCACAGGAGTAAATGCGCATTCCCAATGCATGCTCTTGCCCCCTCTAGCATCAGCGGCTGAGCTCTGAGTTGCTGCTACAAGTAAAGAAAGTACACGCTGCACACATGCAGCCTTTGAATAAGAACGGTGCTCACTCCGGTGGTGCTAGCATCCAACAGCTGTGGCCTTCTGGAAACAGGACAGAAAGATGTGTGCGGAAGTTGCCATTAGGAGTTTTTTTTACAGGCTTTAGGGAGGACCAAAATGGCCTACAGGTATGAAACTTCAATTCGCAATAAATTTTTCGACAACATGGTGCATTTACATTTACTGGGACCACTTGACTGCATGGGTTGTTTTATAAAAACGGCTATAGATGCAGATACAGTTGTGATTGCAGCTTGTACATTTCCTGGGAATGTGTTAACTGTCATTGGAGCGATGAAACACAATACAAAGCGGTCCAGCTATAGCATTAGAGGTCTAGCTATGAGAGCCAACACATATGCACCAAAGAAAAGGCAGATAATGTGCAGAAGCTTTGTAAATGGAAGATACAATAAAGTGAAACACTACATGAGGTATCCATCATAAAAAAACACCACCTACACCAGCTGAATAAACCAGTCCGGTTAGCATAGCATGTTAAAACATATAAATCCTTTTTGTTGATCAAAGGGTCTGTATCTGTATTCAAAAATAAAGAGAACATTAAAGAAAAAAACATTACACAGGAAAGATCTGAAACACTTTCTGCCGTTCTTGAAAATAAAGGTTGTTGTATAAGCAAGAAGACCAACATTTCAGGAGTAACTTAGCCTTTCCGATATACACATTCTGCATGCAGATTTGTGCACCTAGTCCTGGAGCTCGCAGGTATGATAAATTTAAGGTTTTTCTAAATTGCATTAGGTTAGGTTTTCTTGTCATTATTGAAACACAGTAAGTACTGGTTACCACTTTAATCATCAGCTTTTCTTTCTTTCCACAGAGGTATATTGATGGCGGCCTTTCAAACTTCCAACCACTTTATGAACTACATTCGATCATAACTGTGTCCCCTTTCACCGGAGAGATTGACATCTGCCCTCGAGACTGCCCTGTCAGCCATTTATGCCTTCATATTTTGAATAGTAGCTTCCAGCTGTCTGTCCAAAATATATGCAGAGTGAGCTATGCCTTATTTCCACCCTCCTCCTTTGTAAGTACCATTTACCTACATGATAGATTGCATTGCATTGAATAGAAGTGGCCCCACTGCCACTGCCGCTGCCTTACTCCCAGAGCTGACAAATTAATGCATTTTTCAAGCCTAATCAACCACCTTTTCCTCCTAGTAACTAGCTTTCCATTGGCTTCCATTTCCACACACAAAAAGACACATTGAGAATTGCCTGTAGATTCTGGAAAATTGTAGTTGCTGGTTGCTTGCAGAGATGACATTAGGGGCTAAAAGACCCCTGATTTCTCCTTAACTGCTTGCCATCCGCCCATTTTTTTTTCTGCTTGTGCATGCAAGCAGAATCCCACCGGGTATGTAAACAGCCGGTACCAGCTGTTGCATACAAGTGTTCGGCCAGCTCTACAGCCGGTCGATCGCTTGTATAGCAGCATATAGCACGCAGCCCCCCTCTGCTGCTGAAGACATCAGCATCCTCCTACTTGCTGTTCTCCTCTCCGATCCCTGAATGTGGAAGTGGTGTGTCTTACATCACTTCCACCTTTAGCTGTCATTTCTCTGTCTGCTATAGCCAAAGAAGAAGCTGGTGAAGCAGATCTCTGCTTCATCGGCTTCTTTGGGAGTCCCAAGGTGACTGATGTCTCCCTAAAAATATACAACTGTCATTGTATATTTGCTATCACATAGGGGGATTGTTATCCCCCTATGTGATAGCAATAAAGTTAAGTGTAAAAAAAAAATAAAAACAATAGCAATAATTCTAGGGCCATCAAACACTGTTTACATTAAACTGAAGATCGGTAAAAGCTTTTAAAGCGTCGCATATGACCAATGTGAGGTATGGTAGTTTTTGATTTTGTGGGCGCACGCATTTTAAAAGCTTGACATGTTTAGTGTCTATTTACTCGACGTGACCCTTTTATATTTTACCAAAAGATTGGGTACTAATAAAGGTTTTATAGCATAACGTAGGGGAAAACAGGGTTTTTAATGAAATGTTCCGTACTTTTTTTGTTATATAGTAAAAGATAAAAACCACAGTGGTGATTAAAGACCACCAAAAGAAAGCTGTATATGTCCCCAAAATGGTATAAAATTAATTTCACTACAGCGTTGCATGACAGAATAAATGTCAGTCAAAGTATCACAATGCTAAATATTGAAAAATGGCCTGGACAGGAAGGGGGGCGGTCAGCAAGTGGTTAAATAGAATCTGTCACCTTAACTATTAAATTACATGGGGACTGATAAGCCCTCATGTGAAAGCAATCAAGTTAAGTTAAAATAAAGAAAAAGTTTTAAAAAATTGAAGTTTAATACAATAAATTAAAAAACACCCACATCATTTTTGAAACGCTCCCCACAAATCTTGACACACATCAGGAGTGCAAACAAACAAAAACAAAGATTTTGGCACACATATTGGATATCCCTGAGCACGCCACAGTGAGAGCAATGGTTCTAGGATCATAATTCACTCTAAACGCTAAACTGATTAGCTGTAGGTTTTTTAAAGTATCACCTGTGGACAATTTTAGGACTCTGGGTACCCTAGTATTTTGCCATTTCGTGGGTATGCAGTATTTGAGGCTTGACATATTTGTTATCTATTTGCTCGATGAAACCTCATTTAGTATATTTTACAAAACAATGGGTATTCTACTGTGTTTGTATGCAATAAATTTAATTGGGGTGTATCTTTTACTGAAAATATAGATTTGATTAACAGTAGAGCAATTATCGTGTGACCTAAATTGTAACTTTGCAGATATAAACTAATCAGTCATACCTTCATAGATCATCCTTTCTACCCACAGGTACTAAATGGCTTTTATTACCAAGGCTATCGAGACGCTATTGTATATCTCATTAGGAATGGTAAACATCGGCTGTGCCTTGAGGATCAAAACAATATCAATGCGGTCTTGAAAAACAAGGACGATAAAATGAAACAACACGAAAAGTTACTGGTTAAAAAAACAAATCAGTATGGATAAGTATTTCAAGCTAATGGAGTCAGCATAAAAAAAACAGTACTGGAGGATATAAAAAAAACAAAATATGAAGTCAATGCATTTTGACGAGACATCACTGAATAGGATTTCATGAATGTCCAATACAAAGTACGAACACAGACATTACTCTATACAACATGCAGTTTGATTTGAATTTGAATTTTAAACAGTGGAACCATGCACTGGAAGCATACACATACTGGCTACATGCCTCTGGACTTCATCAGGGTTGAAAGTAGCTTCATATACACCTACAGCAGGGAATTAAATGATATGGTGCTTTTTTTTCTCTCTACCAACATCATTATATTTATGTTTGGATGAATGTTAATTTCATGAGTGCCTTGATCCAGAAACTGGATCTCCAGCAGACGGTGGTGATCAGGAAACCCGGTACCAAGGTTGCAAATATCCTTCTTGTAATGGGAGACCATGGTTGCAAATTGTCCTCTATTACTAGGCGTGGCCTGTGGTTTCATTAAAATTCCCCTGTTCCTTGGTCTGCCATCCCAAATATAAAAAACCCAGCTATTTCGTCCGTACCGGAATTCTACACAGGCTTGTTAATGTTCACAGATCAACTCCATGCACAGATTTAGAATTCTACTGTGTAGTGTGCTGTCCAGCTTATGTGAATATACTGTAATTGCAAATATCTGATCTGCCTTAAAGCTGCTGTTCCAATGCATTTTAAATGCATTGAAGTGCATATCCTGGGGAAGAGAGAAGTGGCATTACTGTAGTGACGCATTGTCAGAAAATACTGTGTTATGCTTTGGAAGGAGGTTTCAGGCAGTAATAGAGTGGAGACGTAGCAAATAGTCAAATTTGTCTTACTGCTAGCTATTACCTCTCCTGACATCAGCAGCATCAGAACCAACGCTAGGCTGTATCCTTCCCTTCAGCAAGGCGGACCTAAGGCCAGTCTGGCAGTGCTGTGGATCAGCAAGATGGCCATTGGTCACTGGGGGAATGTGAGGTCACCACAGTTTATGGAATATATACTATAGTGATATCTGTTTAATAAAGGTACAAAAAAAAGCCATAAACTGATCCAAGGAGGCTGTCGGAAAATCTTCCAATGAACATAGCCAGCAGACAAGAAGCTGCTGACTCTGTTCAGGTATTCTAACAGAGCCGGCTGCTGTCCAAATACAAAGGAAACCGCTGGGATTCCTCCATCAATGTTCGTAAGCGTTGCTGGAGGAATCTGTTCTGTTTTTATCATTCAGACTGCGTGTTAAACGGAAAAAAAATAGAACAGCGTATGGCCAACTTTAGTTTTAAAAAATGGCAATTATTTTCAGCTGAACCCAATGAGATTTGAAAATTACAGTCACATCGCTAAATTAGAGACACTGATCTCTGTGTTAAAGCTTTGTGAATTCAGCCAATTGTGTTTAAAACTATGGCTTTTTTCCCCCTCTTAAATCACCTTTCTGGCTCTGGCCCATGTTTTGAAGTAGAAGGTAATTGTCAACCCCAAATGAGCCATGCAGCTCAATACAATTTCTGTGCACCAGTGCCAGAGTGTAATCATGTGTACAGGGACTAAAGGGTTTTTTGTTTTTAATTAATTGTACCCTGATTTCAGATCTCCTTTCAAAGCAAAAATGAAGCCTTCACACTATCATTTACTGTCAGTGGGACATGCTCTCTTTATAAGAGCCTGAAGGGCTGTTTGTTGCCCATAATATGATGCTGATTGGAGAATCATTATAGCTGCAAGAGAACTTCTCATCTGCAAGACCAAACTGATAACAGGAGACAATAATGGTTGTAGTGGTGTTGGTGGTAGGGGAAGGGGGGGGGGGGGTCATGTATTACATAGGAATTTTAAGAACGGTGCTTTTTTCATTTAAGGGAAAGCACTTTTTTAATACATAATTTCTATATCAAAAACTTACTTTTATATGTTATTTGTGGAATAATTTGATTAATTATTCATTTTATTACTTGTTTAATAAGAAATTCTGGATAATACAACCCACCAATAAATGTATTTTCATTTCTCATTCCATCTTCTACCAGGAAATTTACATTATTATGGCATTCCTTACTGTTTTCTAGCATCTTTGTGGACATCCTCATTATTTATTATTAGTCCTGGTATAATATAAAAACAAATATACTGTACTGTATACAATTGTTACTCCAGCCTTGAGCACTTTCTTTTTTGAGACATTATTGTTTTTCAAATTTTGTTTTTGCACTCTTTATGTATGTTTGTACATTTATATATGTCCAACTTTATAGCCAAGCGTATTTAAATCTAAAGTGAAACTCCTGTTTTGTTAATTAAAATAAAATATATCCAGGCACGCTTAATACATTTAGCACTCTTTATTCTGCATCCCTACTCATTTCTGGGGTGTAGATACAGAAATAAATCTGCTGAAATCTTTCAAAAGGAGTGGACAGTTTTGCCTTTACTGTAATCAGATGATCAGAGCCATATTATCAGTAAGGCCCGGTTCACACCTGGGCGTTTTGTAGCGCGTTCCTACGCTCTGCAAAACGCTCAAACACCGAAATCCCATTATTTCGTATGGGTATGGTTCACACCTGGGCGTATTACAGGCCGTATGAACGCGCTACAAAACGCCCTACGCCCAAAGAAGTACAGGAGCTTCTTTGGGGCGTTTTTGTTGCGCGTTTCCATTGGGATACAACCAAGTAGTCCTCGGAAACGTGCGTTTGTCGCGCGTTTTTTTTACCCCATATTCGATACGTCTAGGTGTGGACCCAGCCTAACCCCAGTCATGGCCCTGCCATATAAAATAACTCTGACAACCCTTGGACCCAGCAGTCATTCAACATAAACTCAAAAAATGTGTGCCGACTAAAGTGCATGCATATGTATGAGCCTTTTATGTTTTAAGACCCATACATATGTATTGATACCAGTGGTTGGCATAAAGATCAGCCAACATTCCAACTGTGGGTGGAAAATTGTCAGCCAAGCAGGGACTGTAGCCAATCCACTGCAGTCACTGCTTGGGTATTTGGCTATCTATCAGAATACAATAGCCAGCAGGGGAGATTCCTCCATCCTTAGTGTCGATGGAATAGGGCAGCTTTCTATCGTTGAACAAGAAAAAAACTATATCTAAATGGCCAGTTTTAGGTTAGGCCAGGGGGGCTCCTCAATACAGTTTTTATCTGCTTCAGATATAGCAGAAACATTCCAGTACTCTGTGCTCTAAGCAATATTTTGGAAACTGCACCTTTAATGGTACTCTCCAGTCAAATATGACAGTTTGCTTTTAAATTCGCTCATTGGGCACAGCCTGACTTGCTGAATCGAACTGATTTTGATCCTTGGTCTAAGCATATGAAGTATATCTGTATTGTGCCAGTATATCTATTTAGTAGACATGTGCAGCCGGAAAAAATTTGTTTCGTTCCGGATTTCTTTTTTTTCATTTTTCTCATTTCGGGTACTCTGTTTGTTTCGTTTCATATTTCGGATTCGGTTTCGGATTTTGTTCGTATTCGGTTTCGGATTTTGTTCGGATTCGGATTTCAGAAACGAATTTCGGATTCGGATTTAGGCTTCGGATATAGAATTCGGAAATGCGTATGTCGGTCGAACGTGCGCACGAACGGACGATGTTACGTACGTTCGCAGCAGAATTGCCACCGTTGGCATTTCTGGTTGCTGTGCTGTAGTCTTCTTCACTATTAAAGGGACATGAAAATCTTTTCTGAATATTGTTTTATCCCTTTAAACGTTGACCATGCATGATCGGGAACATGATACGATTTAGTAATTCCCATCCATGATCAATTTTTCTGCCCCTTAAATGGCTTTTAGGGGCACCGCACAACGTTGCACACCGCCGCACCTCCGCCACACTGAGCCAATCACACTGGTATTATAATATAGCTCTAACATATCCTGCAGTGCTGTACACAGGCAACACTGAGTCGGTCACATCAGTATCTGTACCCTACAGAGGAGCTTACACTCTAATGTCCCCCCACAGTCACATTATTCTCTGTACACAGAGGAGCTTACACTCTAATGCCCCCTCCCCCACCGTCACATCAGTCTGTGTACAGAGGAGCTTACACTCTAATGCCCCTCCCCCACAGTCACATCAGGCGAGCTTGGAGCGGTGGAAGGAAAGAAAAAAAAAAAGGGTGTTGTGCATTGCAATATAATTAAATGTAAAGTGTTTCAAAATAATTATACAGGAATCAATGTACAATGCCACTGGCTATAGTGTACTCAAAATCCCAGAAATAATACATTACACACAGCTCTTGGATGGTGGGAGCCACTCATAATGGTCACAGCGGCTGTACTGACCCAGGAACTCAGCACAGGAATGGTCGGATCCCCTCATAATGGGCACAGCAGGTGTACAGACCCGGGAGCTCAACACAGGGATGGTGGGAGCTCCTCATAATGTGCACAGCAGGGGTACAAACCCGGGAACTCAACACAGGGATGGTGGGAGCCCCTCATAATGTGCACAGCAGGTGTATGGACTAGGGAACGAGTCATCTCAGCTCCGCACAGGGATGGTGGGAGCCCCTCATAATGTGCACAGCGGG